TAAATTTCAAATTGATACAGTCTCCGGGTCTAAAGATACAGGAAGGGATCTTGAAGGCTTGAATCTAAACTTCAAAATATAAATGCAAATGAATTTTTTTCCCAACTTTTTCCTACGCCTTGATGATTGGGTCAGGAGTGGTTGGGACTTGGTATCCTTACATGATGAATCTCTTAAGTAATATCGTTCACTGTAAAATTATGCTTTTCTGCATGCAATTGTACACCATGTGCTCATATTCTGCACTTGATCAGATCAGTCCCCAAGTTTACTCCTCTTTATAGCTCATCAGGAACTTATTTCATAGCTTTAGCTTTTGTGTCGATCTCTTGCTTAGCTATGGTAATTCAGTTGTGTCCCAACAGCTTAATTAGGCCTCATTGTCAGTCCTCCTGCTTTTCTCTATTTGCTAAAAACCTTAATAATTCTTATTATGAAATGTGACCATAATGTTAATTTTTCTGTCTTGTCTAGGAAGCAAAAAGTAGAGGTGATAGCGTCACAGTTGAAACTTGTCCACATTATTTGGCCTTTTCAGCTGAAGAGATTCAAGATGGAGATACTCGCTTTAAGTGTGCTCCACCCATCCGTGATGCAGCCAATAGAGAAAAACTTTGGGAAGCCTTGACGGTGTTTTGCAAATCCATAATGCATAATTTATTTGACTTTTCATCTTTCTACTAATAATCAATTTCTAACTTGATTACACTTCATTCCAGGATGGACATATTGACATGTTAAGCTCTGATCATTCACCTACTGTGCCAGAACTCAAACTCTTTGGTACTGGTGACTTTTTAAGGGCATGGGGTGGTATCTCTTCTTTGCAGGTTGGTGTCTTTACAAGTTGGTTATCACAGCTAGTTCTTTTCCCGATAACATATATTTTTCTCTAAAGGATTTTGAGCCTTTACAAATGGACTTTAACTAAATGTACAATGGATTTCCTTTTAATAGACTGATGATTGATATACCAATTCAAAGAGTTCCAGTAACATTGGAATTTGTTGAAATAAGGCCCTTTTAATTATATTTCTGCATCGGTGAATTAGAAATAAGTATTCATGATTTTGAAGATATGAGACCTCTTGAATTGTCTTTTTTGTGAGGTTAATTACAAGACGCACTGAAATTCAATTAGGGGGAAGGTTAGCAATACAAGTGTGTCAACATGTGCACATGAGGATTGACCCCTCTCAAAAACGTAGCAGTCAATAATGATGGCTGCATGGTTGTTGAGGAAGAAGGAGAATTGTTTACCATCTGAATTGCTCCTCTCATGAATCCTTATCTGTTTAGATGCCAGTGTAGTAAGGAAACAATTTTCATGCTTCAAGTTAGCGAGCTTACTTTTGATGGTAGACATATCTTTGCTCCTGAATGCAATTTTGTTCATGTATGTTTATTCTAAGTGGTGTTATTTTGAATGTGTCTGCAGTTTGTTCTTCCTGTGACATGGTCATATGGGCATAAATATGGACTTACTTTGGAACAATTAGTTTCATGGTGGAGTGAGAAACCTGCCAAACTTGCTGGCCTAAATTTGAAGGTAATGTTTGCAGTTGTTTTGTCTGTTTTGTGTCACTGTCTGCGAGAGTCAGCTATTGTGCTTCCATTCAACTTCACGTGAAGAAAACTTGTTACTGAATCGCGCTTTCAGCTATTGTAGACTATTTTGACTTCGTTCTTTGTAGCTGCCACCATGAATTATGAACTCGTCAAATGTTACATAAGAAAGTTCCTACATGTCGTTATATTTGTTCTGGTCAATTACCATTTTAATTGCTGTATCAAAAGAATTGTTGCCACACAGCTGGAAGATAACACTGCTTTGTTGTTTGATAATATGCATAAAAATATTTTTGAAGAGTGGTTTTGCTGAATTATCATCAGCAAATTTTAGAACTAGAGTAAGCAGACAACATTGATTAAGCTAGGATGACTTTGTAAAGATCACTAATCTTTCATACATGCTTCTGAGTTTTATGATCACAACTGATTGGTATCCGCATTTTAAAACATGATATGCAGGGGGCCATTGCAATCGGGTATTATGCAGATATTGTTGTCTGGGAACCAGAAGTGGAGTTTGACCTCAATGATAACCATCCTATATACCTTAAGCATCCTGTATGTGTATTCCTTATGTCTTCACTATTGATATTGACTGTTTAGTTCAACTTGATTAACTGCTCTCTGCATAGCGAAAAAGGTTAAGTTCTGTGCAGGGATGACGAAAATATGATAAACAGAAGGGTGGTGATGATGTTACAATAACTGAGAAAATAAGCTAAATTTTCCACCACACCTTTATATGTTTTGAAAGCAAATCGCCAAAAGGGAAATATGTAAAAGAAATCACTCCTCAAACAAAGCGATTTTAGTATGACAGATTGGCAAGCTTTGTTCTGTTTGAGGTTCAAACCTGCAAAAAATGTTCTTTCCAAGCATTGGCTGATTTTCTAGTTAAACTGTTACAACACGTGGGCATCTAAACAACTGAACACTCAAACTTTGGGAAACACGATTTTACTGGTTTGAGGGAATTAAATGTCGCGTAGCAAACAGATGATAATTTTTTTACCTTTTCATTTCCTTTTTCTTCACCATATATAGAACAAATGCGTGTCTAAAAAACTTAGATCTTCTGAAATTTCATGAAACAGCATGATTTTGTGGCAGAAGGAAGTTAGCTTTTCTTTTCATGTAGACAGAAATCAACCTCTCTAACAGTCTCAGTATATTTTTCTTTGCTGTACAGAGCATCTCAGCCTACTTGGGATCCAGATTATCTGGAAAAGTTTTGGCTACTTTTGTGAGAGGAAATCTTGTTTATGAAGAAGGAAAGCACGCTCCTGCTGCCTGTGGTGTTCCAATCCTTGCAAGATAAGGGATGACATTGCTGGTAATTCTTCGCATTCGCTCATCACTTATCTTCAACTAAATCAGATACCTCGTTTCTTTATTCATATTTCAATTCTTTCTCTGAAAATAAATTTCTGCTTGAATCAGGTTTCTGTTACACTGGTTTGCCAGTATTCAGTGGGCAATATCAGACAAATACAGATCACTCCTGTCGTTTTTCTCTAGATCACCGCTGTTTTGTCATCAAGGCTCTCTAGCTAGCTTTAACACCTTTGCCTGGGATGGGGGTGGGGGCATCTCTGGGCTTCAGTGTACTTGAAGACACCATACGATACCAAGAACAAGTATTTAAAACTCTTTAAATACTTGTCTTAGCTAAATTATGTATTGTTTAAAGACATGATTTCTAGCCCGTACCCGACCTATAGGCTTTGCCTGACAACTATGTTTTCATGGAACTGTTTTAAGTAAGCGATGCACAGTCATATCCCATTTGAATAGCCAGCATCCAACGAGGTTTTCCAATAGAAAACTCCGTGAAAACCAGGAATGCATCCAGAACTCAAGCCATCACCACCTCTGCCTCCACTTCCGCCACCACCAGTGCTTCCACCATGACCATAACCGTAACCGCAGGGGAAAACCAGGGACACCACGAAAGCCAGGCTTGCCTCTAGAAGCAATAGCACTGCCATCACCCCCACCCCCACCCCCACCCTTATGGTTATTCCTTTTACCAGAACTGAGAGCAAGGCCACCACCAATGCCACCCGACACACAAGTTTTGAGTTTATCTTCTTCCCCAGCCATGGCTGCCGAAGGTGCAGCCGGGCCTAGATCTGCAGAACAGATTGATAAGCCTAGGGAGAGCCATGAAGGCCAAGAAAGTCCATTTTGGTGCTGCCATTGTTAGAACACCTGAGTTTTGTCAGTGACTCTATCCCACAAGGTCTTACATACTACCTTCTGGAGGCCTGATAATTTCAGACACAACCCGTTTGTTCAACATTAAATCGATATAGAATTAATGAATTTTTCTGATAAAGGGGATAGATTTATTAAAATCTTGAAATCGATCGGATAACAAGAATTCAATTAAACTTAACACGATACGAATATGAGAGCATACAATTATTAATTATAAATGGAGTATTGGTTGAGTAAATTTTTGACGCAACACAAGCATGACATGATAGATTAACAATCTTATGCTTGTATGAGCAAAAGAATTTCATGTTATTAATGTAATAATACTAATTTAATTCTAAAAGACGATTTATAAAAAAAAGTTCAAAACATAACAAAAAAAAATCCAAAACAGAAAGTTAAAAATTCCGTTGCCGGGACATGAACCCGGGTCTCTCGGGTGAGAGCCGAGTATCCTAACCACCTAGACTACATCGTAGAACTGACGAGAAGCAGAATCAAATAGCTTAAAAACCGTTATCAAAAAATCATGGCAACGATACTGTCACATTTTCATAGACATGTGATATATGTGATAGTCATAGTATAGTAGACGTGCTAATTACGCAGGATCCCACACCCCGATGGCCGGCCCATCCTAACTTATCTAGTGTTAGGACCACGGGTCATGGGCCTTTACTCTTAGGTCCCAAATGACTTGAGAGGTGTCTAGAGTAATGCTGTACACACAAAATTTGTACACCAAATTATTTTCAGTCGTTGGATTAATGGGACTCACTATTATCCAACCGTTGATAATTATTTGGTGCACATAAAATTATTATTTCTTTTTTATTTGTTGAAAAACAGAATTTATGTATTTTTTCCACTGATATATTTAAATATTATTATTAAAATTGCCCTTTTTGAGGCCCATTAGGATGGATTCGTTATTTGGCCCGTTAAAGGCTGGACTGTCGGGGTTCAGAGTTTGCCCGATCGCTGATCGAAGCCCTACTAGTCCGGCCCACAGAGGGCTTTGCCCCAGAAAAACTGGGTGTGCGATTCCCTACCTAGAAGTGACGCACAGCTCTCTTCTGGGTGTGCGATTCCCTACCTAAAAACTGGGTGTGCGATTCTCTCTCTCTCTAATCTCCGATAAGCATCAGCCACAGCTCTCTTCCCTGTCTCGCTCTCTCTCTCCGGATTTGAGATTAGAGTGACTGAATATGGTTGGTGGGTCTGTAAAAGATGTGCAGTCCAAGGGAGAGCTTGATAACGTGATCGGTCAGGGGGTACCAGTTATCGTACACTTCTGGGCCGATTGGTGTGAAGCTTCCAAGCAGATGGATCAAGTCTTTTCTCATCTCTCCACCGATTTCCCTCATGCCCACTTCTTAAGGGTACCCTCTAACTCTCTAAGACTTAACATACATATATAAGCATCACATACATGTATGTATGGTTGTGGGTATCTATATATCTCAATTATTTCAATTGTTTTGCCATTTCTGTTGTTATTTTATTGAAAAGAAATTTTGGGCTAGAATTGAAACATTCTCTGTTTGGGTACTTGTCTGTGTATTTATGTATGTTGTTTTGGACATTTTTTATAAACTTTGCAATTTATAGGAATTGCTTCTATATTCTTACTGACAATATTTTCTATCTATTGTTGTTTTTGTTGGGAATTGGTATGGGACAAGTTTTAGCCATAAAGGTTAATGATCCAATGTTAATTGTTGTACAACCTAAATTGTGTGATGAAATAAGGCTTTTTTGTGTGGGGTTGTGTAATTTTAATGCTTTAAAATATTGTTTGCTCGGATTAGCATAACTTATGTGTCTTGATTCTGGTGAACAGATGGGAAACTAATTTGAATTTGCACGAAAAACTGGTGTAATTGTGGCACACCATGAAATTGGTAGCTCTCAATTGACTTATTGATAAGAGATTCAATATCATATGGACAACCACATACTTGATAGCTTATAAAAAAAATGGTAAACTGAAGAGAGAGAGAGAGAGAGAGAAGAATTTTTTCATTGTATTCTTTAAATCTCACTTCGTGACAGTCGAAGAAGCCTGCGATTGTCTTGCTCATTTCGGAGTGGTATTATTTTTGGCTTCATCATTTGCTACTTTAGTGTTGTGGATGGTGTAGCTAATGATATTTGCACGAATGATTTAGAAGCCCAAACTTTATCCATCATGAATGTTGAAAGGGTGCTCTGCTTTAGTTTAGAATTTTGTAGATGGTACTACTATTTATTCCCTGCAGTCATATCGAGAAAGAATACACACACACACACCCTCATATATAATAACATTATGCTCAATGTTACTTGAATCATGGGTCGCTTTGGTACGTGATACAATCATACAGGTACGGGTATATGATACGACACTTTCTTAGGTACGTGGTACGATGGGGGTAGTTTTAGCTGGTACGGTATTTTGAATCACAATTTGTTTTGGAACTCTTATGTAGATCATTTTCACTACTATACAACATTATATATTGCAAACATTCATAAACACTAAGTTAGTTACCATTTATTTTATAATTGTGCTTGATTTTCTATTATCTAAAACAATATATAATTATAAATCTATATACATGTGGTCAATTAGTATGTATTTTATATTTGTATTACATGATTTAAAGCGAATTGATTTAGGGTTAGTATTGAAATTTGTGGTCGTCAATTTTGGTGATCTGGATCGCGAATCCACCATGTTTCGGATTGATGTACCCAGATTGTGGGCCGCTAAAGGTTTTGTGAATTGTGGTAACCATGATTATGCTTGGGTAATCATGCAAAACTTTGAATTACTTGGACCAGAAATTGCAAGAAGACATTTTCTAGGTTTTTCTTCAGAAAACACTTTTTTTTGGGATGGCCATACTGATATTCCAGTCGCAAACTTGGATTTTCTTAATGCATCAAGGAGAGAGAACACTATTGCATCTTTGCTTCCATGAACCCTCCACCTTCGGTTATAATAATAATCGAATTTTTGTTTAATGTTTACTGGCCATTTAGTGTCACAAAACATTGTTCTAAGTGGTTGCTGGAATGCAAATTGTGCAATGTTAATGCATTTGTACACCTGTTGAAGATGCTTTATTATTCATTTCAAGTTCCAGGAAGAAAACAGAAGCACAAATATTCTTTGGGATGTTTAAATGATGTTCTTATGTCTCATCTTGTCATTTGCAAGTCTTTATGAATGGAATTGGTTTACCATGGTTTTTTGCCATCTTTTCTTTTACAGGCGAATTTTACACTTGAGCATTTGGTTTATCTTGTCATATAGAAGTATGTGGTAGTTTTGGTTATGCATGACGCTCATCTCCTCTCCGTGTACTAATTATTGATTACTTCGCTCATGACTTTTCAGGTTGAAGCTGAAGAACAAGCAGAGATTTCTGAGGCATACTCAATTTCTGCTGTGCCATACTTTGTCTTCTTTAAGGTGACCTTGATAGAGAAATTTTAAGCGATCTCTTCTTGTTGTTTGTCTCTTGTAGGCATGGTTTTGCCTTTTCAGCTAATGAAAAGAAATGGAATTAGAATGTTAGTTTTTTGGTTCGATTTTGCATCCATTCTTGTTTTTTCTGTTTTCTTTTCTTTTCTTTTCATTTTTGTTGGTGTGTATGTGTGTGTTTTTTTTGGGGGGCCTTGATACTTACACATATGCTGGTAGGCTAGCAGTTCGTCTATCTTATGAAGTCCATAAGTCTCGAACAAGCTTTATTTATAAGCATTTTGAATTATATATTGAAATTTATAAAGTTATTTTAATTGTCCACAAAGCAAAATCAAGGCNGGTCAATTAGTATGTATTTTATATTTGTATTACATGATTTAAAGCGAATTGATTTAGGGTTAGTATTGAAATTTGTGGTCGTCAATTTTGGTGATCTGGATCGCGAATCCACCATGTTTCGGATTGATGTACCCAGATTGTGGGCCGCTAAAGGTTTTGTGAATTGTGGTAACCATGATTATGCTTGGGTAATCATGCAAAACTTTGAATTACTTGGACCAGAAATTGCAAGAAGACATTTTCTAGGTTTTTCTTCAGAAAACACTTTTTTTTGGGATGGCCATACTGATATTCCAGTCGCAAACTTGGATTTTCTTAATGCATCAAGGAGAGAGAACACTATTGCATCTTTGCTTCCATGAACCCTCCACCTTCGGTTATAATAATAATCGAATTTTTGTTTAATGTTTACTGGCCATTTAGTGTCACAAAACATTGTTCTAAGTGGTTGCTGGAATGCAAATTGTGCAATGTTAATGCATTTGTACACCTGTTGAAGATGCTTTATTATTCATTTCAAGTTCCAGGAAGAAAACAGAAGCACAAATATTCTTTGGGATGTTTAAATGATGTTCTTATGTCTCATCTTGTCATTTGCAAGTCTTTATGAATGGAATTGGTTTACCATGGTTTTTTGCCATCTTTTCTTTTACAGGCGAATTTTACACTTGAGCATTTGGTTTATCTTGTCATATAGAAGTATGTGGTAGTTTTGGTTATGCATGATGCTCATCTCCTCTCCGTGTACTAATTATTGATTACTTCGCTCATGACTTTTCAGGTTGAAGCTGAAGAACAAGCAGAGATTTCTGAGGCATACTCAATTTCTGCTGTGCCATACTTTGTCTTCTTTAAGGTGACCTTGATAGAGAAATTTTAAGCGATCTCTTCTTGTTGTTTGTCTCTTGTAGGCATGGTTTTGCCTTTTCAGCTAATGAAAAGAAATGGAATTAGAATGTTAGTTTTTTGGTTCGATTTTGCATCCATTCTTGTTTTTTCTGTTTTCTTTTCTTTTCTTTTCATTTTTGTTGGTGTGTATGTGTGTGTTTTTTTTGGGGGGCCTTGATACTTACACATATGCTGGTAGGCTAGCAGTTCGTCTATCTTATGAAGTCCATAAGTCTCGAACAAGCTTTATTTATAAGCATTTTGAATTATATATTGAAATTTATAAAGTTATTTTAATTGTCCACAAAGCAAAATCAAGGCACAAAAAGCTTCAAATATGCCCTGGTTTGACGAAGTCATGATTGTTTAACATTTCTGTATCTCATGTTATATTCCCTTCTTAAGACCAACAATTGGACATGAGGATGGATTTTGTTGTTTCACATTTAATGTTTTGCTGCATGTTTCATCGTATCTGACTTCATTTTCTGTACTTTTTAATTAGGATGGAAAGCCTGTCGATACATTGGAGGGTGCTGATCCAGCTAATTTGGCCAACAAAGTTGCTAAAGTTGTTGGGTCGATCAAACCCGGGGAACCTGCAGCTCCTGCTAGTCTAGGGATGGCTGCAGGACCCACTGTTCTTGAAACAGTCCAGGAATTTGCTAAGGAAAATGGTTCGTCTCAAGTGGAAAATCAATTGACTTCTGGACAGGGCGATGGACTCGAAAAACGACTGCAGCAGCTTGTTGGTTCTCACCCAGTCATACTTTTCATGAAGGGAAGCCCAGAAGAACCCAAATGTGGGTTTAGCCAAAAAGTTGTTGGAATTTTGAAAGAAGAAAAGGTCAAATTTGGGAGCTTCGATATTCTGACAGACAGTGAAGTTCGTGAAGGTTTGAAGAGGTTCTCCAACTGGCCCACGTTTCCTCAACTCTATTGCAAAGGTGAGCTTCTTGGCGGGTGTGATATCGCAATTGCTATGCATAAGAGTGGTGAGCTAAAAGAAGTTTTTAGGGATCATGGGATAGAAATCTCTGATTCCAGTGTGGCAAAAGGGACTGAAATTGGTGGGGGGAAGGGTGGCATCTCCGAGCCTTCTGGCTTGAGTGCAACTGTTGCCTCCCGAATTGAAGGTCTGATCAATTCAAGCCCAGTTATACTGTTTATGAAGGGAAAACCTGATGAACCCAAATGTGGGTTCAGCCGGAAGGTAGTTGATATTCTTCGAGAAGAGAAAGTGGATTTCGAGAGTTTTGACATTCTGACTGATGATGAAGTCCGACAAGGGCTCAAAGTGTACTCAAACTGGTCCAGTTATCCACAGCTATACATAAAAGGTGAACTTCTTGGTGGATCAGATATTGTGTTGGAAATGCAGAAGACTGGAGAACTTAAAAATGTCTTATCTGAGAAAGGGATCACTCAGGGAGAGTCTCTCGAAGATCGCTTGAAGAAACTGATCAATTCTTCACCTGTAATGCTATTCATGAAGGGTACCCCTGATGCTCCAAGATGTGGTTTCAGCTCCAAGGTGGTAAATGCCTTAAAGGAGGAGGGGGTAGGGTTCGGGTCGTTCGATATTTTAAGTGATGAGGAAGTGAGGCAAGGGCTGAAGACCTTCTCAAACTGGCCTACCTTCCCACAGCTCTATTACAATGGTGAGTTGATAGGAGGCTGTGACATAGTATTGGAGCTACGAAACAATGGCGAGCTCAAGTCTACCCTCTCTGATTAGAGATCGATGGAACTCATCAGATGGCGGCAGATGAACCCCGACTCCAATATTTCCCGCGTATGTCGTGTGTTAATGCTACATATGATACATTAGTTTGCAACTTTGAGTTCCCAAATTTGTCACCACTATTTCTGGGGATATATAGTGGAGTCAGTGGCCACAAACTTGAAATTTTACTGAAGTCATAGTCATGGGTGCTGTTAACGATATGATCTTTTTATGCGCCAATCTAGGATATGACATGAAAACCTTTGTTCTTGGTGTGTGACAAACCTTTCATGTGACACTTCTGAGTCCTATTGTTCTGTTCTCTAAAATAGTGTAGTTTTGGGGAAAGGAGTGAAAAGAGTCTCTCTCTCTCTCTCTCTCTCTCTCACACACACACACACACACACACACACAACCATTCAAATGATGATTATGGCTTCCTATGCTTTACAAAATATGGTTTATGAGTTGGTTTTGTCAGAGTGGTTAAGGAGTTACTGCTCACTCTTAAGAATGATCTGAGATCAACTCTCTAAAGCCGAATAATGATTAAATGCCCGTGTAATGAAAAAGTGGAGAGATAAAAAATAGAAAGGATAGATTGCACATCATGTTTTGTTAATAAGGAAATGTGAAAGGAAATTAAACTAAAAAAATGAGTCTTCATTTCAGTTGATCAAACTCGATCTCACAAAAATTAGACGAAAAAGTAATAGGAAAGATGTACATGTCCTACAACATATGATATTTGTTTTAATATTTCTTAATATGGATATTAATTTGGTCCTATAATATGATAGAGAAGTTATATCGAATGTAAAAGAAACACATACTTCTTGCATTTCATCTCTCTTCCCATAGGCAAATAAGGTTTCTTTCCCATAAATGCATTCCTCTAACTTTCTTTCCTTCGACTTGTATATCCTTCCTATCAAACATGTTAGCATCGGTTCCTTTGTAAATGAGTAGAGAGACAAAAGTTCAAAATCCTTGCATGAAAGCATAGAGTTTGTTTCCAAAACAAGAGGGCCCTTGATCCTCTATGTATGTAAGTTGGCAAGATGGTCTCCCTAGGAAAACACATGACTGCGTGTTCAGTTTCTTTCCGGTTATTTTCTCATGGGACAAAGGACGATCCTGTGTGGGTTAAAATCCAGAGTCATTAGAACAGAGATCACTGAGGGCAACATTCAGTCATGCCATGGAAGTAAATAATAGGTTTCAGACTTTTAACTTGTGTTCTGCTTCATTCCTAGAATCATCTTTGTTTCTTCATCTTCATCTATTTGATCAGCTTTCATGCTGTTTAAAAGTCCATCAACTGCTTTACCACTTTTGATGTAACCTTTCATCAAGGCATGATACATCTGTCTGTTTATTGAGATAACAGTCCTCAGGGAATCAATGAAAGCTTCAACATCTTCAATGCTGCCTTTCTCGCCTAGCGAACTCAATATGCTTGTAATTACCTTAAGGTTAGGCTTGTATCTTTTATTTTTCACANTAACAGTCCTCAGGGAATCAATGAAAGCTTCAACATCTTCAATGCTGCCTTTCTCGCCTAGTGAACTCAATATGCTTGTAATTACCTTAAGGTTAGGCTTGTATCTTTTATTTTTCACATGTAAAGAAAGTGCTGCTTTCATGCATTCCAAAGCCTTCTCCATCTCACCTTTATACAGGTACCCTGCTGCAACCCTGCCCCAACTATCTGGTGTTGGAGCGTTTCCTTTCTCCATCACATCTAAAAGCATTGCCTCAGCTTTTTTGTATAAGTGCCTGTTAGTATACCCAACAATGATGGTGTTTGGTACTCGAAAATCATAGCAGTTTCCAGATGACTCCCACTCCTTCAGCAATTTCTCTGCTTCTTCGAGTTCGCCAAGCCTCACCAGAGATTCCAGCATATTTATATAATCCCTGTTGATGCACCTCTTACAAGCACTCTTCTCAAGATCCCATAACCTGTGGACCTTGCCCTTATTTCCCAGCTGAGCATGGAGTGAGATAAGATGGTTGTAGCCAAGACCATCTTTATTGTCTAGCCTCTCCTCTGCTTTCTTTAGGAATTGATTTGCCTTATCTTTTATGCCTGCCTTAATGTAGAAATTTGCCACAACTGTATATGTGTTCCAGTCCATGACAATGCGTGATTGGCTCTCCATTTCTTTCAAAATTGTTTCCATTCCTTCAATGTCTGATCTGACTCCATATGAATTGATGCAGATTCTGTAGCTCAGATTATCAGGGGGAACTCCATCTTCCTTCATCTCGGTTAAAATCTCAGGGACCTGCTCATGTTGACTGATATTTGTGTGAAGGCACATAATGTCATTGTAAGTAAGGGGTGACAAAGTAAAGCCCTTCTCCTTCATTTTCTGCAGATGAGACAGGGACTTGTCAGTTTGGCGTTGTCGGGCATAACAATGCAGGAGAGCACCGTATGTCTTATCAGTTTTCTCTTGGTCCATCAAGTTATTGAAATAGCCTTCCGCATGAACATACCCATGGGCCTTACCAATGAGATCCAACTGCACTGCATGTTCAATTGGCGTAAATGAAAAGATACCTTTTTTCTTCATCCACTCGGAAACCTGCACAATAAAGTCTTACACCATCACAAATCGAGATATTATGAACAAAGCACCTGGTCACCAAAATCAACGACTATTTTCTGGTTGACTTATTCATTTTGTTAATGTTTTGTTTAGCTGCTAAGGACATGCGATGACGTGGGAAGCAAAATGTTATTGCACTTTTGAGTCCACTTCCCCAACTTAAAAATTCAAAACATATCGTGTTTTCAATGAGAGTAGGGTACCTTTACGTTTAAGTGTACTAGTGAAGAATTCATGAAACCGATGTAACTTTTTTCTAAATCATAAAACCTATACAACTTGCTTATTTTCTTTTTTAGTTTTGCTCTTCCTTCTTTTTGTTGCATTTCTGCCATCTACGGGTGGATTTCTTGTCCAATACATCGTACTTTTTACTCTATTTTATAAAAGTTTCCGCTTCCTATGAAAATAATAATAGCCATCTTTGGAAACATTCTTTTGTCTTGAAACTATGGTCCTCAATTGGTAGATATTGAACATGATGTGTGAGAATTTTTTCCAAGGAAATACTAGGCAAAGGCTATCACTAGACGATTCTACTTGTTAGTCCCTGAAATATGTAAAACTTGAAGCTCTAAGATAGTGTTCACCAATGTACATTGTTGAGAAAAGGAACAACTATCCCACCAAAAAAACAGAAAAGAAAAGGAACAACTATAAAGATTCTATTGTTAATTAGTACTTCATACATGCAGACATGCCCATGTCCTAACTGAGACTTGAAGTCCTGTTCTCTCCACCTCCCTTGGATGAGACTTGAAGTCTTGTTCTCTCCACCTCCCTTGGATGGCAGGGATATCAAACCAACAGTGAGTGCAGGTTCCTCGAGGATACTGTTCCATGTAATAAATTGATTTCCCTTTTCTCTCCAACTAAATAGAGATTTAGAAACATCACAATTTTTTCCCAGTGGCCTATCTTAAATAACATGATCTATGACAACCAATTCCCACAATCCAAAGAGCAATACCATACAAAATAATCAATGGCCATTACATTTCAAGAAAGCCACAGCCACACCAGTACTGATAGTACAAATTTTTTTCCTAAAACATTCTATATGTAAATCATTTTCCAACCTAGATAAGCCAAGAAAATACCAAATATTCGATTTTTCTTTTCACGCCATAACTTCCTCAAAGATGCTAAAGGCAATTCTTTCACACACAATTTCACTGCAAANTACTAGTGAAGAATTCATGAAACCAATGTAACTTTTTTCTAAATCATAAAACCTATACAACTTGCTTATTGTCTTTTTTAGTTTTGCTCTTCCTTCTTTTTGTTGCATTTCTGCCATCTACGGGTGGATTTCTTGTCCAATACATCGTGCTTTTTACTCTATTTTATAAAAGTTTCCGCTTCCTATGAAAATAATAATAGCCATCTTTGGAAACATTCTTTTGTCTTGAAACTATGGTCCTCAATTGGTAGATATTGAACATGATGTGTGAGAATTTTTTCCAAGGAAATACTAGGCAAAGGCTATCACTAGACGATTCTACTTGTTAGTCCCTGAAATATGTAAAACTTGAAGCTCTAAGATAGTGTTCACCAATGTACATTGTTGAGAAAAGGAACAACTATCCCACCAAAAAAACAGAAAAGAAAAGGAACAACTATAAAGATTCTATTGTTAATTAGTACTTCATACATGCAGACATGCCCATGTCCTAACTGAGACTTGAAGTCCTGTTCTCTCCACCTCCCTTGGATGAGACTTGAAGTCTTGTTCTCTCCACCTCCCTTGGATGGCAGGGATATCAAACCAACAGTGAGTGCAGGTTCCTCGAGGATACTGTTCCATGTAATAAATTGATTTCCCTTTTCTCTCCAACTAAATAGAGATTTAGAAACATCACAATTTTTTCCCAGTGGCCTATCTTAAATAACATGATCTATGACAACCAATTCCCACAATCCAAAGAGCAATACCATACAAAATAATCAATGGCCATTACATTTCAAGAAAGCCACAGCCACACCAGTACTGATAGTACAAATTTTTTTCCTAAAACAATCTATATGTAAATCATTTTCCAACCTAGATAAGCCAAGAAAATACCAAATATTCGATTTTTCTTTTCACGCCCGACACCCCATAACTTCCTCAAAGATGCTAAAGGCAATTCTTTCACACACAATTTCACTGCAAACCGAAAGTGCAGAATTTGGGGGTTGGGAATGGATGAGGACAGCCATTGGTTAAAATCATGAACTAATTTTCTTTCAATACCAGAAGCAAAATCAAGATTCCAATGCTGCCCGACACAGCCTTTTACCCTTACATTGCATAATTCTCAGCTTCTAGACTAGTTATATTCCTCTTGCCTATTATCTAACAATACATCTCAACGTCAGTCTCTCCACCCAAAATTCCAATATTTACAAAACCCATATCACAAAATCACCCCCATTGACATGTACATATGCGTCTTTATGTGTGATTACATATATATATATAAGGTAGAAGGAATACAAATTTATTCTACATTGACACTAAAACCAGACACAAATAGATATTGGGGTTTTACTGTACCTGGAGGGCTTGAGAAAAGCGTTTGCGCTTGCGGAGATCGTGAATGATGCGCTTGAGCTCACCGAATCGAACCTTTTTGCCTTTCTCGACCCATTCATCGAGCTCTGGGGTCAAATTCAGGCTAGGGTTTCCTAGAGGACTGATTCTAGAGTACAATGACTCCTTGTTCAGTCGATTTGTGTAGTACAATCGCGTCGTGCCGTTATTAATGTTGTTGATTCGGTGGATTAGGGTTCTAAAGATACGAAGATTTGACTGCATTTTTCAATTCTCGCTTAAACCCAGTCGATTTAACAAGGATATATCTATATCTCCTCCGCCATTGATGTCTCTGTGAGTGAGAGAGAGAGAGAGAGTTTTTTTTTTTTTATTTGCTCTCACTATTTTTTTAAAAAAAAATAAGGGAAATTTGAAAGCCGATTACCTTATGTGGATTTGTTTGAAGATAAGTCCGACAAAAAAATTTATTGGAGTTTAAATCCATGTTTAAATTTATATGTAGGTACTTAATTCTATTTTTTTTTTAAATCTCAATATTATCTCAAACGGTGTTAATTTTGTCTAATTATAAAATGTTCAATATATCAGATCTTTAAAATATATATAGAAACCTTAGTTTAAGTTATATATGAAAATTATTTTTTATTAAAAATCCTGATAATTAAATAAATAATATATGGAATGTATATACTTTGCTAAGTATATATAGAAACCTGATTGACGAATTAATTCAAATCATAAGTTTTTCTTATCAATTCAAATTTAAATTCGAATTCTTAATCAATTTTAGTATGTTATAATTTTGAATAATAGACTTTTGTGTTTGGTAGGGGGTTCGAAGGTGATAGAAGCAGTCGTGAGACCCTGTGTTACTAATGATGTTACTGTCAATGTTACTATTTAATGATCATTGTATACAGTAACCAATCGTGCAACAATGTTACAAATTCACTTAATAATGAATAATTACAATGAATTTTAACATATCAATTCCACATACAACACAATTTTAGCATTCTAAAATTAAATGGTTATGTTAGTTGGAACATTTTTTAACATGTTACTGTTGCGCTTACAAATTGGACAGAATTTTCTTTGTTTTCCAAACGTTCAATTACAAACAAATTTTCAAACCTATATCAACATATCGATTTAATATCAAGATGTAACATCCAAACCACAATTCTACATGTTTGAATACTCCATTTAAACAAAGTACCAACCAGTAAACAATTACAACCAACTTCTAACCGAGCTTACAATTAGCTAAAGAGTGAATAGTTTTACAACATCACCAATTTTTATTATTTTGGTATTTTTTTTCAATCTTGATCTTGTCTTGTAGTCTTCAACAGTCCATGCATTAATGAATGTGGTCAACATGTGTATCCGTAAGGCGTTAAGTTGTACTAGTTTCAATTTCTCTTCTATTTCCTGTAATTGNATTTTCAACAGTTCATGCATTCCTATGGTTTATGAATGTGGTTACCATATGTATCCGTAGAACATTAAATTGTACTGGTTTCAATTTCTCTTCTATTTCCTGTAATTGTCATCAACCTATANGAAAGCCGATTACCTTATGTGGATTTGTTTGAAGATAAGTCCGACAAAAAAATTTATTGGAGTTTAAATCCATGTTTAAATTTATATGTAGGTACTTAATTCTATTTTTTTTTTAAATCTCAATATTATCTCAAACGGTGTTAATTTTGTCTAATTATAAAATGTTCAATATATCAGATCTTTAAAATATATATAGAAACCTTAGTTTAAGTTATATATGAAAATTATTTTTTATTAAAAATCCTGATAATTAAATAAATAATATATGGAATGTATATACTTTGCTAAGTATATATAGAAACCTGATTGACGAATTAATTCAAATCATAAGTTTTTCTTATCAATTCAAATTTAAATTCGAATTCTTAATCAATTTTAGTATGTTATAATTTTGAATAATAGACTTTTGTGTTTGGTAGGGGGTTCGAAGGTGATAGAAGCAGTCGTGAGACCCTGTGTTACTAATGATGTTACTGTCAATGTTACTATTTAATGATCATTGTATACAGTAACCAATCGTGCAACAATGTTACAAATTCACTTAATAATGAATAATTACAATGAATTTTAACATATCAATTCCACATACAACACAATTTTAGCATTCTAAAATTAAATGGTTATGTTAGTTGGAACATTTTTTAACATGTTACTGTTGCGCTTACAAATTGGACAGAATTTTCTTTGTTTTCCAAACGTTCTATTACAAACAAATTTTCAAACCTACATCAACATATCAATTTAATATCAAGATGTAACATCCAAACCACAATTCTACATGTTTGAATACTCCATTTAAACAAAGTACCAACCAGTAAACAATTACAACCAACTTCTAACCGAGCTTACAATTAGCTAAAGAATGAATAGCTTTACAACATCACAAATTTTTATTTTTTGGTATCTTTTTTTCAATCTTGATCTTGTCTTGTAATTTTCAACAGTTCATGCATTCCTATGGTTTATGAATGTGGTTACCATATGTATCCGTAGAACGTTAAATTGTACTGGTTTCAATTTCTCTTCTATTTCCTGTAATTGTCATCAACCTATAACACGACGTTGTAATATCAATATGAATATATTAGATAGTTGTAAAATCAATATTCTACACAAACATATAGTATCATGGTACAAAATAGTAACACACAACATATGGTAACATACAAAATAGTAACATACAGAATATAGTAACATGATACCAAGCGTAATTGATATAAACTAATTATGAAAAATTTTATGCAAGAGTAACATTAACAATTCCACCAAATTACATGATATAAATATAGTAACATCAAGTTAGTAACATTAAATTCTTAACTAAATCTCAGTAACATCAGACAAACATAATTTTGTGTGCCTGTNGTGGTTAAAATCATGAACTAATTTTCTTTCAATACCAGAAGCAAAATCAAGATTCCAATGCTGCCCGACACAGCCTTTTACTCTTACATTGTATAATTCTCAGCTTCTAGACTAGTTATATTCCTCTTGCCTATTATCTAACAATACATCTCAACGTCAGTCTCTCCACCCAAAATTCCAATATTTACAAAACCCATATCACAAAATCACCCCCATTGACATGTACATATGCGTCTTTATGTGTGATTACATATATATATATAAGGTAGAAGGAATACAAATTTATTCTACATTGACACTAAAACCAGACACAAATAGATATTGGGGTTTTACTGTACCTGGAGGGCTTGAGAAAAGCGTTTGCGCTTGCGGAGATCGTGAATGATGCGCTTGAGCTCACCGAATCGAACCTTTTTGCCTTTCTCGACCCATTCATCGAGCTCTGGGGTCAAATTCAGGCTAGGGTTTCCTAGAGGACTGATTCTAGAGTACAATGACTCCTTGTTCAGTCGATTTGTGTAGTACAATCGCGTCGTGCCGTTATTAATGTTGTTGATTCGGTGGATTAGGGTTCTAAAGATACGAAGATTTGACTGCATTTTTCAATTCTCGCTTAAACCCAGTCGATTTAACAAGGATATATCTATATCTCCTCCGCCATTGATGTCTCTGTGAGTGAGAGAGAGAGAGAATTTTTTTTTTTGATTTGCTCTCACTATTTTTTTAAAAAAAAATAAGAGAAATTTGAAAGCCGGCCACCCGATGTGGATTTGTTTGAAGATAAGTCCGACAAAAAAAATTATTGGAGTTTAAATCCATGTTTAAATTTATATGTAAGTACTTAATTCTACTTTTTTTTTTAAATCTCAATATTATCTCAAACGGTGTTAATTTTGACTAATTATAAAATGTTCAATATATCAGATCTTTAAAATATATATAAAAACCTTAGTTTAAGTTATATATGAAAATTATTTTTTATTAAAAATCCTAATAATTAAATAAATAATATATGGAATGTATATACTTTGCTAATTATATATAGAAACCTGATTGACGAATTAATTCAAATCATAAGTTTTTCTTATCAATTCAAATTTAAATTCGAATTCTTAATTAATTTTAGTATGTTATAATTTTGAATAATAGGCTTTTGTGTTTGGTAGGGGGTTCGAAGGTGATAGAAGCAGTCGTGAGACCCTGTGTTACTAATGATGTTACTGTCAATGTTACTATTTAATGATCATTGTATACAGTAACCAATCGTGCAACAATGTTACAAATTCACTTAATAATGAATAATTACAATGAATTTTAACATATCAATTCCACATACAACACAATTTTAGCATTCTAAAATTAAATGGTTATGTTAGTTGGAACATTTTTTAACATGTTACTGTTGCGCTTACAAATTGGACAGAATTTTCTTTGTTTTCCAAACGTTCTATTACAAACAAATTTTCAAACCTACATCAACATATCAATTTAATATCAAGATGTAACATCCAAACCACAATTCTACATGTTTGAATACTCCATTTAAACAAAGTACCAACCAGTAAACAATTACAACCAACTTCTAACCGAGCTTACAATTAGCTAAAGAATGAATAGCTTTACAACATCACAAATTTTTATTTTTTGGTATCTTTTTTTCAATCTTGATCTTGTCTTGTAATTTTCAACAGTTCATGCATTCCTATGGTTTATGAATGTGGTTACCATATGTATCCGTAGAACATTAAATTGTACTGGTTTCAATTTCTCTTCTATTTCCTGTAATTGTCATCAACCTATAACACGACGTTGTAATATCAATATGAATATATTAGATAGTTGTAAAATCAATATTCTACACAAACATATAGTATCATGGTACAAAATAGTAACACACAACATATGGTAACATACAAAATAGTAACATACAGAATATAGTAACATGATACCAAGCGTAATTGATATAAACCAATTATGAAAAATTTTATGCAAGAGTAACATTAACAATTCCACCAAATTACATGATATAAATATAGTAACATCAAGTTAGTAACATTAAATTCTTAACTAAATCTCAGTAACATCAGACAAACATAATTTTGTGTGCCTGTATGTTACAATTATATGGTTTGAAGATTGCACTGTACATAACATTGTCCTAAAGTAACTGAAACTATTGAGTACTCTTGTGACATCATGATTACACTAGTTCATGAACATCATTTTCAGTTGTTGAATAAAAAGGACTTATTCTCAATCAACACTTTAACGCAAGCAATAACCCCCTCAAAAGTTTGGAAACAAATTAAGGTGCATCAAAGTGTATCGGTCCACCGCAACCTCGTGTTCTTTTCACAATAACACAACGAATAAAAATAGAATTGTTTTAAGAAACCCAAATAGTTACACAAATCCAACCCCAATTTATATTTTTCACTACCAATTGCAAACATTTTTAGACGTATATTATGTAACATACATTTTTAACTTTCACAATAACACCAAAGTTTTGTGCTCAGTAACACATCGACTTTCACAAACTACAAGGCTATATGGTGTTTATAGTAACATCAATTTTTGAAAAATTATAGTGAAAATACGATTCACAAATTAAATATTTACAAAATTTTTAATAGTAACATACTGTCAATAGTTAAATTAAGACACTCAAAACCAATCAAGAACATCAAGATATCGACATTATGAGATACATTTTTCAAGTCCTCACATAGTAACATGATATATTTCACAAACATACAATTAAGGAATTTCAAATGTCTTACACAACGACAAAACAACAAAATCAAAAAACATAACTCTTTAATATAGTAACAAGGAAATCTCAATTTTATGGTTATGAATGAAAAAAAATAAAAATCAGTTGACAGTTTGAACGATAAATCATGTTTTTTTTAGATCAATAAGCTAGTTATTAAACTTATATAAGTCAAATCATCATCAACACAAACAATCTCTCAATTACACAGAAACACCACAAAAAACAGACAATAAAGAAAACCCACAAGAACCCTCTTTTCTCGTCCATTTTCTCTCCTCATTCTCCAAAAAAAAAAAAAGAAGAAGAAAACACACAAAAACATACATTTAAGACAAAAATTGAAAAGGGTTTGTGCAAAGGGAGAGTACCAAAATGCACAGCCAATGTGATGGTTGAATTGAGGATCAGGGATGATAATCAAATGACTTTGACGACACTAGAAGTGGCATCAGAGTCATTCTCATCAGCCGAAGCTGATGGGTTTGGATTGAGAAGGGCACGAATGGTGTCATCGTTGGGGTCATAATATGGGTTGAGGTTGCGATTTATGGTTTCACGACCCTTTTTAAGACATGGTTTACAAGCCATTTTTATGGCTATCCAACACAGTGTCAGTCCCGCTATTGCTATGATTGCTATCGTCAGTGTCCCCATCTCTCTCTCTCTGTCTCTAGTTTCTTTGATTTTTGCTCTTGAGTTTTGGGAATTGAGAGAGAGGAAATGATAAATCATGTAAAGATTTCTTTAAAACCCTTAAAGAAACCTTTTGTACAGAGAAGGAAACTTTGCTGCATGGACGGTTATTGCTGGATTTGAAGCCTATTATTCAGGAGTGTATATCGCTGAATGAGTTTTGTACGTCTGTGAAGAAGACGGTCAAGGCAGACGTCTATTATGCCTTTTTCAAAAGGTAGGGGTAATATAGTAAACTTGAAAAAAGTGGACTTAAAATCAAATAAGTTTCTTTGTTGGACTTATCTCCAAACAAGTCCATTTAGGAGGACGCACCCCTAATTTTCACAAAAAACAAATATCGATCACCGTAGTCTAAGTGGGTTTTAAATATGTTCCTAAAAAAATAAGGATGATTGGCTCCGGTAAGTGTTAAAATATGACACGATCCGTTAACACAATATACAATTAGAAGGTTGAGTCTTCTTTAAGCCAATCATTTGATAAACGAGTAAGCTCGACATGATACAATTTTAATAAATGAATAGATATAGTGAAACTAATAAAAAGAAATATATGATACGACTCGTTTGTATATTGATTTTACATGATTCATACGTGACATGAACCCAATATAACACAATGTGAATTAGGTATGAGTGNATTTTTCACTACCAATTGCAAACATTTTTAGACGTATATTATGTAACATACATTTTTAACTTTCACAATAACACCAAAGTTTTGTGCTCAGTAACACATCGACTTTCACAAACTACAAGGCTATATGGTGTTTATANTAAATATTTTTTGACACGAGCTTTTTAAGACCCGAGACAAGCCCATCTCACCTGATATAATTGATAGGCCTAACTAGTCTTTAAGAGTATNGAAATATTTTTTGACACGAGCCTTTTAAGACCTGAGACAAGCCCATCTCACCTGATATAATTGATAGGCCTAACTAGTCTTTAAGAGTATGAGAAATCTTGAATTTGAAACTTTTGAATTACTAGATGTTAGATTCAATTAATGAACTACCCTAAGGATTAGAGAGAGAGAGAGTTAACAAATGTTCAGGGTTTCAATTTATCATATGATCTACGACATCAAAACTAAGATGTATTAGTCACAGATTTATTATACACAGGGAGTTACACTTGAATTGACCATAGATGTAGCAGCGAAAAATAGAGGAGATCTCACTTTGATATTAAAATGTNCTAAGGAATTTCAAATGTCTTACACAACGACAAAACAATAAAATCAAAAAACATAACACTTTAATATAGTAACAAGGAAATCTCAATTTTATGGTTATGAATGAAAAAAAATAAAAATCAGTTGACAGTTTGAACGATAAATCATGTTTTTTTTAGATCAATAAGCTAGTTATTAAACTTATATAAGTCAAATCATCATCAACACAAACAATCTCTCAATTACACAGAAACACCACAAAAAACAGACAATAAAGAAAACCCACAAGAACCCTCTTTTCTCGTCCATTTTCTCTCCTCATTCTCCAAAAAAAAAAAAAGAAGAAGAAAACACACAAAAACATACATTTAAGACAAAAATTGAAAAGGGTTTGTGCAAAGGGAGAGTACCAAAATGCACAGCCAATGTGATGGTTGAATTGAGGATCAGGGATGATAATCAAATGACTTTGACGACACTAGAAGTGGCATCAGAGTCATTCTCATCAGCCGAAGCTGGTGGGTTTGGATTGAGAAGGGCACGAATGGTGTCATCGTTGGGGTCATAATATGGGTTGAGGTTGCGATTTATGGTTTCACGTCCCTTTTTAAGACATGGTTTACAAGCCATTTTTATGGCTATCCAACACAGTGTCAGTCCCGCTATTGCTATGATTGTTATCGTCAGTGCCCCCATCTCTCTCTCTCTGTCTCTAGTTTCTTTGATTTTTGCTCCTGAGTTTTGGGAATTGAGAGAGAGGAAATGATAAATCATGTAAAGATTTCTTTAAAACCCTTAAAAAAACCTTTTGTACAGAGAAGGAAACTTTGCTGCATGGACGGTTATTGTTGGATTTGAAGCCTATTATTCAGGAGTGTATATCGCTGAATGAGTTTTGTACGTCTGTGTAGAAGACGGTCAAGGCAGACGTCTATTATGCCTTTTTCA